ATATATATATTTGTAGGGCAAGTAGCAGACAAAAGTAAGAAAGGACTAAAATGAAGATATAAATATGTTTTAGGGTAAAAACAATAAAAAAGAGGAACGAATAAAAGGTGAAAAGGAATTAAAAAAAAAGAAGGGCAAAAAATATGAACAAAAAAGTAAAATAGAAAAAATGAGGGACCAAAAGATAAAAAAGAAAGGCAAAGAAGGACTAAAAAAATAAAAGGGAAAGAAAAAGGAAGAAAATAGACTTTTACGGCAAGCAAAAAAAAAGGATAAAAAAGAGGATTAAGATGAAAAAATAAAAAAGTTTTAGAGCAAAAGGCACTAAAATGAAAGGAACAAGAAATAAAATTTTTGTACAAAAAGTAAAAAAGAAGGTAAGAAAAGGACCAAAATGAAAATTAAATAAGCTTTAGGGTAAAAAACCATCAAAAAAAAGGAAAAATAAAAAGAGAGGAAGGACTAAAAGGTAAAAAGAAAAAAAGAAGAACAAAAAATGAGAACAAAAAGGTAAAAGAAAAAAAAGGTCCGTAAAAGCTGCTCTTCTTCTTGTTTTTATTTTCTTATTTTGAAGTATAACATATATATTATTTATTCTCCAAAAATAATATTAAAATTCCCTAGTATAAACTAATGATGATAATTAATGAAAATGAAGTGATTGATTATATAACCAGAAAAAGACAAGAAATTTATAAATATCACTGAGCATTTATTTCATTGTATTTTGGATAAGTTGGTTCTAAATGCAACGATATATTAAATAATGACAATGCAACATTAGTTATCTGGTTACTTACTTTTATTTTCTTATAAGATCTTTAATGTAATTGAGGATAATAAAAAGTATATAAATAGAAAACTTATTGTTGCATTATTGTTATTAGTTACGTCATTGTAATTTGGAACTTACTTACCCAAAATAATGGAATAAATGGCCAATTTTCTGAATGATAATTATGAATTTATTTTTTTAATTAATAATCAATCACTTTGTTATTATTAATTATCATAGTTAACTTTATGTTAGGGCATTTTCACATTAGTTTTGGACAAATGGAAAAAAATGGCCAATTTTCTGAATGATAATTATGAATTTAATTTTTTTTATTTATAATCAATCACTTTGTTCTTATTAATTATCTTAGTTAACTTTATGTTAGGGCATTTTAACATTAGTTTTGGACAAAAAGTAACATGTCATAAATCAAAAAGAAAAATTTGGAGACCTTTCTATCAAAAGAAAAACTTTTTTTTTTTTTTTTTGCGGACTAAGGCAAAAAAGCCTAAAAATATAGAAATCTCTTATGGCATTTAATACCAAAAATAAGATGGGAACTAAAGGTTTCAATAGATTAAAAGTTTGAGGACTTAAGCGTCCAAATTCATAAAATGGGGACTATTCCTAACTAAGATTAAGAGTTTGAGGACATGAGTGTCCAAATTCTTAAAATGAGATTTAAGTGTTTGGAGACCTGAGTGTCCAAATTCTTAAAATGTGGATCTAAATACTAAAGGTTAAAAAGTTCGAGGACCCACATTGCAAATATCCCCGATTTAAAACTGGGATACCATTTTCACTCTAATTTCTTCATATCAATAGTCTTCAAGCATATATATAATTTAAGCACTGGAAACCCTACGTGAAGTAGCACTTTTTAATTAATTGAGCTCCAGGTGACTTAAAATCCTATCAAAGTACATATTTTACTCCATTTTTTTAGTTTAATAGCCTTCTAAAAATATATCTTCGTTCTAATTGAATTCCGAGGACATAAAATGCTATCCAAGTACCATTGTGACCCAATTTTTTTTAATTCAATAGCCTTCTAATATCCAGTTCTTTGTATTAATTAAGTTTTGAAGGCCTTAAAATTCTATCAGGTACAATTTTTATTCCAAGTTTTTCACTTTTATATTCCTTTAATACACACACACACACACACACACAATTCAATTGAGTTCCGGAGACCTTAAACTTTTATCCAAACATAACTTTTACTCCAATTTTTTTTTTTTTTTTTTTTTCACTTCAATAGTCTTCTAATAACTACATCTTTATTTTATTTGAATTCCAGAGACCTTAAAATGCTATCTAAGTACCGTTTTGACTCTCATTTTTCAATTCAATAGTCTTCTAATATCTAGATCATTTTATTAAAAAAATATTATATTTGCCAATAGATCACATTCGAAAATGTGTCTATATTTTTTGAGGCACGAAAATAAAACCGGTCTTTAGATCGTGTTTGTTTAGCAAATGTTTTGAAAAAGATAATGAAAACAAAAAAACAATGAGATTGGTTTTGTTAAGGAATTAGAAAATGATTGAAGTTATATTTCCCTTTCCATTTTTATTTTCTAGTACTCATCAATAGTGTTATATTAAATAATTAATTATTAATTATTAATCACCAATTGTATAATATATTATTTGTCAATTTAATAAATATATAGTAATTACTTAATTATTAATTATTTTGTAATTTATTTATAAATAAATAATAAAAATAAATAGTAATTAATTGTTGTTAGAGATTAATTGCCAAAAATTGATTATGTATTATATTAATGGAATAACTAATAATAGGTTATTAATAATGGAATAATTAATTATAGATTATTAGATAAATAATATGTAACATATAATATATTAATAATAAATTATGAATTAGTAAATAGTTAATAAACAAACTAATAAATAGTAAGTACTCAATTAATAATTAATATTGAAATAATTATTAGTTTTTTACTATACTAATTTATCATTAATAATTAATAATTGATAATTAGTTGTTAATTATTAATTAAAAAATAATTACCAAAAATTGTTCACATAACATATCAAGTAATAGGTTATTAAATAAACCTTAGTAATTAATTAACTAGTTGTTTAATTATATAATCAAAAGTTAATTAATTTATTAGTTAATAGAATACTAATAAATCATTTTACTAATCATTTTTTACAAATACACTAATTCATTATTTATAAAATAATAATTATGAGTATGTTACTTACATAATAATTACTTATATACTGATTGTTAAATGCTATGTTTTTATTTAGCATATCAAATTTATTATCTAATTTAGTTACTAATATACTAATTGTTAATAATCTAATATTATTATAATATTAAGATATTAATACTTATTTGCTAAGTGATTATCAATTATTAAATACTTATCATATGAATTTAAAATTATTAATTATATGTACTCAAAATAAAATTTTATTAATATAACCAAACATAATTTCAATTCATCTTAAATGTTAGCATATTTCTCTCAATCTTTCAAAACAAAACCACGTTAAAAATGTTGTCAAATGGGCCCAATGTTATACAAGTGAACAAAAAATAGTACATTTAATGGACTAGTATGACTGCCAAATTAAAGACATTTCCTTATATATGTATATATATATTGGGGAAGAGTATATTACCTTGAGTCGTTCTATGTTGCCTTCAAAACATTGTGTCAGTGCACAAATATATCATAACTTTTACGATTTCAAGGTTTACAGTTTGAAAGTATATTGTTAAATGTACAAATTTTCGTATTTCTTTTAAAATTTATAAGTCTATGGAAGCTTATATAACTCAAATGTTAAGAATTTGTAAGTATCAATATAAAACGTGCAAATTATTACATTCCCGACACCAAAAAAGTTCCCCTTTTACCTCTTCACATACAATTCACAATTTTTGTTTTCTCATCACAACATTTTCCTTCTTATTTAACCAATTGGGTATTTAATGAGTTAAAATTGTAAATCTATTTTAACTTGTATAACTGAAATGTTCGAAATTCATAATTATCAATATAAAATGTGTAAATTATCGCATTCCCGCACCATAGAATTCACAAATTTTGTATTCTTACCACAACATTCTCCATCTTATTTTCAGGGAAAAAAAAAAAAACAGCAAAAACATTCTCTACCTTATCTAACCTCTTGGGTATTTGCCTGCCATCTTGTAACGTATCAATTGTGGGAACAGAAACGGTGATAACAAAAATTAATATATATATATATATGTATGTATGTATGTATATTTTTATGGTAAAAAGATGGTACGATCAATTGCGTTTCCATCACAAATTCCAAAACCCAATTAATAATTAATCAGTGTCATTTTTCTCCTTCGTATAATCACAATAGTAGTAGCATCAAAAGCTGTAATCCGGTTTGAAAACTCCCTTGCTCGTCGCACCTTTCTCTCCTCCTCCCATCAATCCCTTCATCAACCCTCCTCCAACAACACCTTCGACAACCTTTTCGTCGTCTTCTTCTTCTTCTTCTTCTTCAAGGACGTCGTTAAACGCGGGGTGAGCGAGAATACTTTTGAGCAACTGGGTCCCTCTCAAAGCGTTCGTCAATGGCAGATGCCCCTCGGGAGTATCGCCGTCGATCTCCCAGAAGAACTCCGTCGGAAACGACCTGTAGTTGTACTGCTCGACCTCGGTGGTAGCGAGCTTCTTCATCCACCCGACTTTGATGAAGAATCTGGTGAAGTCGTTGTTTACCTTGTTGAAGATCTTCTTTTGGACGCTGTATCCGAATTTCCCGTCGCTGAAGGTTCTCCAAAGCTCGTCGATGGCTTTGAGGTCGGATTCGGTGATGTACTGGACTTCGGAGAAAAAGACGTAGCCGCGCTTCTGGGCGGCGTCTCCGGCGAGGGCTATGAGGAGGCGGCGGGTCTCCTCGTCGGCCTGTCGGAAGTCGCCGGCGGCAAGATGGCTGCGGAGGAGGTCGAGGGAGGTCGAGGAAGCGGCGGCGGAGAAAGAGGAGGAAGTGGTGGTGTTTGGGGAGAGAGAAAATGTGAGGGTGGAGGAGGAGAGAGAAATGGGTTTGGTTGTGGGGGTGGTGGTGGGTTTGAGAAAGAGAGAGGGAGCTGCGTCTGAGGAGTGGTGGCGTTTGAGGAGAGAGTGGTGGTTGTGGGGTATGGAATGGAGAGTGTTTGTGGCCATAGAGGAGAGAGAGAGAGATTCTAGAGAGAGAAAGAGGAAAAGAGAGATGGTTTGGTTATTTCTTGCGTTTGTGGATTTTTTTGTTTTTTGTTTGGGTAATGGTGGTGGAGAGGTTTGGAAGAAGAGAATGAGAGAGGAGATAAGATAAGAGTGAGGAAAGGAAATGTGGAAGAAAGAGATCATGATCAGCTTGTGGAATATAATGGTGGGTTTTGATTGGTCACCTGTGGCTGAGGCTGGATTTTTTTCTCTCTTTCTATTTTATTTTTTTCTGTCTGACTCAGCATAAAGTTATGGCTGTATCAATGTTTACGCTATTAATATATATATGATCCCTTGTTAATTGTTATTTTTCTTTGTATTTATCGATTTTTCTTCTTTAATTTGGTATATGGTTAGTTGTTAATTGTAATGTTTAAGTTATTAAGGAGGTAAATATTCTTTAAAAAGGCATGGATTAAGATTTTTATTTATTATTTTTGATTAATAATTTTTTTAGTCAAATAACTATACTAAAAAAAGAGATTAATTAAGAATAAAAGGAAAAATTCAGACTCGTACAATTTTAAGGATAAATTTTATAATTTTCTCAACTATATTATCTAATAAAACTATATTTTTATCACGCCATCAGTGACAGAGTCATGATTTTTCGGTCGGGGGCCTAATTTTTATTTGTTATTATCAAGATTATACAAACATGTATATATATAAATATAACCGTTTTTATTTATTAAATTAATTCATGACATATTGACACATGAAAATATTAATATTGTATCTAAGTACCTTAAAAAAAATATTGTATCTAAGTAAAAAAATATATCACTGCTAGTTATATGAAAAGTGACAATATCAATTTTTTCAATTTCAATTCTTTCAACCTTTTGGAGATGCTTGGGGACTAAATTTTCAGAATTTTGAATAGATGATTGACCATCTTCTCTAAATTATTTGATCTTGAATATTTTTTCTTTTAAAAAAATGCATCAATTATTAGCTTCCTAATGAAAATTTGTAATTCAGAACTGAGAATAATTTTAAGACCTCATATAAACTACACTATATAAGGACTTATTTAGTTTGCTTATTCGAATTTTTAATTTGAATTGAGATGTGATTTTATGTTAGTGCTTGTTACTGTAGCAAAATAATTAGATATGACTGTTTCTGAGAGCCTTTTACTGTAGCAAAACTCGAATTATGAACTCGAATTAGTGAAATGAACGAGGCCTAAATCTAATAAACTATAGACATATATATCATTATGCCAACTTATTTTTTTAATAGAAAATTATAGTTTTTATTTTACAATTTAAGTATTAAATCCAATTGAAATAACTTAGTTAGTAATAAAAAAAAAGAGTAATAACCTGATTATGTTTGAACTTTGAAGTACCAATCATTAATGCGTAATGAATGAAAAAAGTTTCTCTAAAGGAAATAGAAGGGGAAAAATGAAGATTATTGAGATTTAATTTAACATTTAACTCAATTAAACTAAATTAATTAAAGAAAATCCATGAAACTAAAATAAAATGTACAAATACCAAAATAGATATTAAAATATATTGCTCTGGAGCATTTCTTTTACAAACAATATTTAAAACAGTCCATAAAGTTTAAAATTATATAACTCTAAGACAATATCGACCAAATATAGTTTATATACAGAAATATAGTACAACTCAGAATTAAAAACTGCAACTTTAGAATAAACTAACCACTTCGAATCTCACGCCTTCAATCCATTGGCATCCACTTGCCATGCTGTAAATCTAAAACACTAACTCTGGACGGAGGGGTTAAAACATTGAAAACAGAGGAAAAGTGAGTGAAAGGCCCAGTAGGATATAATTTCATAAAATTGAATAAATAAATGAAAGTACAGGCCCGAATGAATCAGTCAGAACCAAACAACCTTTTTATTGAAAGGTAAATAAACTAAAATTCCATATTATAGGCAAGCAGCAAGTAATTTAAGAAATTAAATTATTTACCACCAATGTAAGGTCAAACACCACCGTAGTGGCCCGTACGGGTTTCGGGTCCTGCCTCTAAGGATACGATCTCCATATCCTAATATCTAGGCCATCAGCGGGTTTACCGGTTCTTAAAACATCTTATTTTAAGGAAATATCTTTTAAAACCACAATCCAGCTCATTATGAATTCAATAGCATAAATCATGCTATTTCCTCAAAATACTTTTTCTTATAAAATATGTTTTGTCTTAAAAATATTTCTATAGGCCAAAACACTTTAAAGTAAGGCTAACAAGAATATTGGTAAGAATATCCTACCTCTTGACAATTTAATCTACGGATAACTTCACGCTGTCCAACCGCCTATTCTTGAAGCTCCACGACTCACTTTGAACCTCAACGAATCCATTCAATTCGCCTCTATCTGCGTGTACAATACCGGTAGACTTTTTAACAGAGTAGAATTGGCTCAAACGGAGGTCACCATTGCGTTTAGCACATCAAAACGAGTCAAGATATGGTCTCAGATCTTCGATCGGACGTCGAGAACCTGAAGAACTGAGACTCGTCGGGATCTGGCCCCTGGCGGTGGCGGAGGTTGCTGGAGTATATTTTTGTGGTGGACTTGGGTCCTACCCCCCATTAATCGACCCTTCTGAGTTCATTGTCCAGTCAATTTCAACCAATTCGGCCTTTATCTACTCCAATCAAACCCAAAAACGTCAGAAAAATCTGGTCACTTTGATCTTAATTCTCCTACTATGGGACCTCAAAATTACTTGAGGGCTTTCATTACCCGTGATCTTCTGAGCATTTAGACACTAAAATCATGATGATCCAACGGTTGGATCATCAGAACCACTCCTTACCTCTTCGGACGGCGGCGCAGCTCCGTTTTCCAGCAAACGGCGACAAGACCGTGATTGACATAGTGGTTTTGCTCAGCATTCTTCTCTGAGTCCATTGACATTAGAGGTGTCAAAAATGGCAGCCGGGAAGGAGGTGAATGGCGGCGGCGGTGACGGGGACTCCGGCCACCATGGATGGTGGTGCTCCGGCCAGAATCGAGCTGAGAAAAAGGATGGATTTTCTTCGTCTCTTCGTTCTGAATCCATAGGAACTGGAATCACCTTGACTGGATGTTGGACGGAGCAGATATTGGGATCAGAAGCTTTGGTTGTTTTTGAAACTTCGACCGGCGATTACGGTTGATTCCGGCGGAGTTGGGAGGTGTCAAAAACGGACATTGAAATCCTCATCGGGGTGTTTGACT